GCTCCTTGGGACTCAGGGGAGGTCTTGGAGGCTGAATGAAGTCTATTTCCTACAAACAAGACACTTAAAGGGGGACACGGAAAGGCTTTTGTGCCCAGAAGGGCTACAGGGTCTTGCCTGGCTTCAGACTCTGGGCAAAAATCAAACAGTATACTCTAGAGAGACAGAGACATCGCATCTACTCTTCATTCTTTGCATCACTCTTTGCAGAGGGTATTTTTATCCTCATGGCTCAGAAATGAGGAAACACTGGCCCTGTAACTTGGCTGGAGTCACTCACTTTGTCCACTCTCCTACCACTTTAAGAATTTTCCTATTCTCTTCGTAGGAAAAGTTTTTTTCACACTTAAAAATCTATTGTGCCACGTGCTTTTTTGTTGGAAAAGTGCTTGGACCTCTTTTTAGCCTGACGCTGACTTGTTTTGCATCCACACTTGACCGCAACCTCATTCATAACTGCTTTGGTTAACTGCCATTCCTCGTGTTCATTTGAATGGCTAATGTTCTTGCTCTTGTTTCACATTCCTGCTCTTGCTAAGTTGCCTTTGAGATACATTTATTATTTATTTTTATATTATTATTATTATTTTGGCCATGCCACATGGCTTGTGGGATTTCCGTTGCCTGAGCAGGGGTTGAACCCAGGCCCCAACAGTAAAAGTGCTGAGTCCCAACCACTAGGCTACCAGGGAGCTCATTATTTTCTGATATCAATCTGATTTCTAATATCCATGGGTAGATTTGCATTTTACCCACCTTACCAAGGTTAACATGTGTGAATTTCTGTCTTTCCTAATTTTTCTAACTTCTGCCCATTTCCTGGTTTGAACATTAATTAAGAAGCTCGGCAGAAAGAGAGAGTCTGCGAAACATAGCTTGAATCTCTTGAGACTGGGAATTAGGGAAAAGCTAATGTTGGGATACAGGATGAACTGTCTGAGGAATAGTTTTGGAATGAGTCAAAAGGCGCAAGTGGCTATAATTAGGCGTTATTCATGCAGAGCTTTAAAAGCAGAGCTCCAAGGATGCAGGCTGGTTTCACTTCACAAGCATCTCTCGAGCATGTGACATATGCCTGGTGGCTGTATGTGCTGGGCAGGCAAGGGCTCAGGGTGGGGCCCTCCCTGGAGGAGCTCACAGCCTATTATTTCTCATCTGTCAATTCTCCTTTTGTCATTTAGTGCACAAGTGGTCTAAGGAAGCAGGTACCTAGGCCACACAGCTGAAACCCAAGAAGGCTGACCCCTCTGTCTATAAACTATACGGAAAGACCTTCCCAGGCTATTCTGAAGTAGCATTTCCTAGTCTTCTTAGAATTAAAGAAAGAAGGAGATAGTGGGTCTCAAAATATGGTCATAAGTGCAGCAGTGGCATCACCTGGGATTCTGTTAGAGATGCACATTTTCTCTCTTTTTAATATTTATCATATTTATTTGTTTGGCTGCACTGGGTCTTAAAGTTGAGTCTTGCAGGATCCAGTTCTCTGACCAGGAATGGAACCTGTGCCCCCTCCACTGGGAGCATGGAGTTTTAGCCACTGGACCACCAGGGAAGTCCCAAGATGTGAATTTTCAAATCCCACCCCAGAATGACAAACTCAGGAAGTCTGTGGTTGGGCCCCTGCAGAGTCCAGAATCACCTGAAGGCAGGTGACTTTGGTGCAAGTTAATGATTGAGAACCTCCGCTCTAGGCAAAATCTCACCCAATTCCCTTTCCGCCTTCCTGCTAAGGTCCCCGTTGGTCTCCTTTGATCTTCCACTCCGGAGGCCCTTCCATTCCCCTCTCCCAAGGTCTCCAAGTACGAAGTGCAGGTTGCGGACCAGGGTGCTGGTGTTCGTGGCGCTGGAGGGCTGAAGGCCAATAGCCCCTGCTCACCTGGGGAGGCGCACCAAGGCTGTGTCTGCCTACAGGGGATGTCTCGCTGTGACCCTTCCTCAGGGTCAAGACCCCCTGGGCTTCTTCAGGATTTCACTGCTAATTGTCCACAGTGAAGGTGAATAGAAAATCCAAATGATGATGCTACATGCATTCACCTGTTCACCCCTTAACAGGTATTCAGTGAATACCCAGAAACTCCTTCTGCCTGCAGAAGAGATAAAGGACAGGTGGTGGGCTAAGGAACTTAGAATCTACCTTGGTAGAAGAAAAGAATATGAAAAAGACAGTGTGAGAAAGAAAGTGAGGCCATCCTCAGCCATCAGACTGCCGGCATTCCAGAAAATATCGACATTACTCTGAACTAGTAGTAGCAGTGCTCCGTGGCTAAGTCGTGTCTGACTCTGCGCTTACTCTGAAGGGACGCACAGTTACTGTGAAGGGCCCCAGAGGCACCTAGTGGAGGGACTTCAATCACATCAATGTAGCATTCAGTCTCCTTGGAAAGAAAAAGAAGAGGCTCCAAGTTGACAAATGGTGGGGAAATAAAAAGGAACTAGTTACAGTCTGCACGATCTGTAGTCGTGTACAGAACATGATCAAAGTGTCACACTGGGCTTCTGCTACAAGATGGGGTCTGTGTGTGCTCACTTCCCCATCGATGTTGCTATTCAGGAGAGTGGTTCTCTTGCTGAAATCGAAAATTTGGGGAATGAAAAATACATCCACAGGGTTCAGATGAGGCCAGACATTGTTTATTTAGTACCTCAAGCCCAGGAAGATGAGTTGAGTCTTGAAGGAAACCACATGGAACTTGTGTCAGATTCAGCAAGCCACAAGAATATCAGAAAATTTGTGGATGGTATCTACGTTTCTGAAAAAGGAACAGTTCAGCAGGCTGATGAATAAACTCTGGGTGGTCCAGCTACAGAAACCACAAGATGCCAGATGATTCTTTGGACTCATTTATGATATTTTAAAGATGCAATAAAAGCTCTTTTGATTTGGGAAAAAACAATAATAATACCAGCAATAATCACCCCATTTTTTTTTCAATTCACTTGACAAAATTCACATAATGGACCATTCTAACCATTTAATACATACAATTCAGTGATTTTTACTAGACTTACAAAGTTGTGCAACCATCACCACTATCTAATTCCAGAATGCTGTCAACACCACAAAAAGAAATCCCTTACCTGTTAGCAGTCACTCTCATTCCCTCAGTCCCTGGAAGCCTGTATCTACATTCTGTCTCTATGGATTTGTCCAGTCTGGAATTATACTGTAAACGGAATCATACAATAGGTGGCTTTTTGTGTCTGGCTTATTTCACTTAGCATCATGTGTTTGAGACTAATTTATGGGTTTGGCATTTCCTTCTGGGGCAATGAAAATGTTTTGGAGCTAGATAAAGGTGATGGTTCCACAACATCGTGGATGTACTGAATGTCACATTTTAAAATGATTGATTCTATGTTATGTGAATTTTGACTCAAATTTTTAAAGAGAAGTTAAAAAACAAAACAAAGTAGATACCTTTTGATGATGCCTTCGAATTGTGGTGCTGGAGAAGACTCTTGAGAGTCCCTTGGACTGCAAGGATATCAAACCTATCAATCCTAAAGGAAATCAACCCTGAATATTTACTGGAAAGACATGCTGAAGCCGAAGTGCCAATACTTTGGCCTCCTGATTCGCAAAGGTGACTCATTGGAAAAGCCCCTAATGCTGGGAAAGACTGAAGGCAAAAGGAGAAGAGGGAGGCAGAGGATGAGATGGTTAGATAATATCACCGACTCAAGGGACATGGATTTGAGCAAACTCCAGGAGACATGAAGGACCGGGAAGCTTGGCATGCTGCAGTCCACGGGGTCACAAAGAGTCGGACACGACCTAGTGACTGAACAGCAACCACCTTTTGACTCAGCAGCTCCACTTTAAGAATTTCTCCTGTGGGTACACATGAACGTATGGAACATGATGTGTGTTCAGGACTGTCCCTGCAGCAGTGTTTGAAAGGTCAGCTTATTAGAAACAACCAAGATGTCCAGCAGGGAACCAGTTAAATAAGAGATGGTGCAACCATGAAGTGGGACTTCCCAGCTGGCTCAGTGGTAAAAGAATCCTCTTGTCAATCCAGGAGTCGAAGGAGATGAGATGAGAGAGAGATGATCCCTGGGTCAGGAAAGTCCTCGAGAGGAAGAAATGGCAATCCATTTCAGTATTTTTGCCTGGAGAATCCCATGGACAGAGGAGTCTGGTGGGTTACAGTCCATGGGATCGCAAAGAGTTGGACACGACTGAGCACGCACACACACACCTAGAACTAGAAGAGCCATTAAATAAAATAATGAAGCTCTTTGGGTACTGTTAGGGGAAAGTATCCAAGTTAAAGCATCAAGTAAAAAATGCAAAGTACAAAGCAGAGTCTATACGAGACTACCACTGGTGTAAGAAAGAGGGAAAAAAGAATAAAAGATTTCTTATGAGTTACCTACTTTATGCGGAGAGGAACTGGGGACAGAACAGTGGGAGGGAGGATTTCCACTCTGTTCTGTTTTTGTTATTTTTGAATCTTGAATCATGGGACTATATTATCTATAGTCAGTGGATATTCAATTGTAACATGCGACTGCAAAGAAGAGGTATCAATCGACAATTATTTAGTGTATCCCAGCTCAATTAAAGCTCAAGGCTGTCGTCAGGCATTAGGTCCCAAATCACTAAATTCTCAGGACGGCTGGGGATAGCGCTCCCAGGGAAAGTCGCCTACACTCAAAAGCCAGGAACAGCTTAAAGGTGGAAGGAGGGTTGCTTAGCAACTAGAGTGAGAGGGCGGGCCGTACTGCGCACGCGTACGTGTAGGACCGGACGGCGCCGATGGGTCGTTTTGCGCACGCGCGGACTCCGGCCTCGGGGTGGTCCGGACCTGACGGTTGCTAGGGTGACAGGGACACAACATGGCCGCCGGATCCTAACGCTCTCCGTTTAGGGACCACCACGGAGGTCCTAGTTCGGGACCCTGCCTCTAAGGAGTGGAAGCCAGGGCCTACACTTTCTATCCCTTTCTTCTCCGTCCAGTATCGGCAAAGGGTTGTCGCCGGCTTCCGCATCCAGGATGAAGAGTTGAGTGGAGCCGCGAGGGGCGGGACCAGAGGGCGAGTGGCGGCGGGTGGGGGCCGGCTTCGGGAGGCACTCGGTGGCCGGTGGGAGGTGGGCAGTTTGGGGGAATCCCAAACGTCGGTGGGCTGTCGGGGACCCGCGTCTCCGGGGGCAGCCGGAGGGGGCAGCCCGAGGGGTTCAGGGCTGGTCGGGCTGTGAGGGGTTTCAGAATGTCGACCCGAGTCCAGCTGAGGTTTATTTTGGTGCAAGGTTACATTAGAGTTTGGGGAGTTTTTAATTCTTTTAAATGGTGGGTTGAAAACATTTGGCAGTAATGTAGTGAGCGGTTACAGTATGGCTTCGTACCTTTTATTGTCCTACCTACTATTGGTTTAGTAGACAATTGAGAGGAAAGCTGGGCTGTGTATTTTACTCTATTATTACTTTCGGGTCAGGTAGTACTGTTTTTGTCAGAACTTCTTTACAGAAATTTTGAAAGAGCCTTTTAGTGCAAGAGCGTTGCTGGGAAGTTATGAAATGAGATAATAATCTTTGAAAATGTGAGGGGTACCATATTTTTCTGTGCTTCAATGTGTGGATTATGAACAATCCAAGTGTAATCAACTACTTTTTTATTTTTACATTACTGTACGGATATAGTTGTCATTTATGCTGTGAATCTGAGGTCCAGAAAAATTCCAACCTGTTTTGCTGTGAAAAGATTAAATTATGTTGGGTGTAGTTATGATGTTAAATTTGCATTGTATCCTGATTGTCAGTTGGTATTCGGTATATTGCATAAATTGTGTAACAAAGATGTTTAAAACAATTCGTCTCATTCATCCTTTCCAAGGCATTCTTATTTTCTTCATATGATTTATTTTTCTCTGTACCGGGTCTTCATTGCTTCACGCAGGCTTTCTCTAGTCATGTCATGTGGGGGCCGCTCTTCGTTGTGGTGCCTGGGTTTATTGTGGCGGCTTCTCTTTTTGCCGAGCACAGGTTCTGGTGCACAGGCTTCAATAGTTGGAGCACTCGGGCTCAGTAATTGCGGCTCACAGGCTTTAGTTGCTCCCAGGCATGTGAAATATTCCCTGACCAGAGATCAAACCCGTGTCCTCTACATCAGCCGGAGGATTCTTACCCACTGTACCACCAGCAAAGTCGAGGAGGTTCTTATTTTCTTTCGTTAGATATTGTTTAAGTGATTATCTTTTTCAGTAATGCACCCAAAGCAGTAGTTAGAATACAAGGTCTACAGAAGGCTTTACATTTTTATGTATAGTGTGGACTTACATATACGTATATTTTACTGTATTCCTTTTTTTCCCTTCCCAACTATTTATTTTGAAAAATTTCGAATCTACAGAAAAGTTGCAAGAAGAGTACACTGAATATTTGTGCACCCTTCACCTAGATGCTCCATTTGCTGTATGTTTGTGTGCTGTCTCACCGTGTGCTGGCATTGTCTCTCTCTGAATTATGTATTTATTTTCACTAAACCTTTTGAGAGTTAGTTGTAGACATCATTACATTTCACCATTAGTAATTCAGCAAGTATCTGATAAAAGCAAGACCATTCTCCTGCATAATCACAGTAAATAACATGCCGATAGAATATTGCAATGTAATATGCAGTCTATATCTCACATTTCCCCACTTATCCCAATAGTATCCACGATAGGTGTTTTTATTTTTTCCAGGATCCCAGTCAAAAATCACAAATGTTAGCATATATATACATATATATATATACACACACACACACATAGTACATATATATATACACACACACATGATCTATACGTTTATATTTGCATTTTGTGATTTGTATCTTTTAAACTTTGGTTTTTAAAAAAATATTTATTTATTTGGCTGTACCAGGTCTTAGCTGCAGCATGTGGGATCTTCAGTGTGAAGTCTTAGTTGTGGCACCTGGGATCTGGTTCCCTGAGCAGGGATCGAACCCAGAGCCCCTGCAGTGGGAGCTCGGAGTCTTAGCCACTGGGCCACCAGGAAAGTCCCAAAGGGTGAAGTTTAAATTTTAAACTTTTATGTTTTTTTCCAAGTGTAATTGACCCACAGCACTGTGCTGGTTCCAGCTGCACGGCATGGTTATGGTGTTTCTGCACATCACAAAATGACCACCGTTTTTTACGAGTCTGTGAATAATTTTACGTCTTTTTCTGTTTTCATGATGTTTAGTAATTCAGGTCACCATTTTTCCCACACTGCATGAAGTAATTAATTTGGTACAGCCTTCTTTATTGAAAGATCTTGACCTTGTTTTTAGTTATTTGGTTTGAAGTACTGTCTCTCTCAGAGAGAGTGGGAATTAGAAGCTGAATCCTCTTTTAAACTCTAGTTGAGAGTTACACTTAGTAATTAACTTTCCCCTTAGTTCTGACTGGAGAAGGAAATGGCAACCCAGTCCAGAATTCTTGTTTGGAAAATCCTGTGGATGAGAACCCTGGTAGGTTACAGTCCATAGGGTCACAAGAGTTGGGCACGGCTGAGCGACTAAAACAACACCATAGTTCTGATGCTTATCACCTGCCTTGATTAAGATCTTTAGAAGCAGTTTTAATACAGATAGTTGGATTCGGGTGTGACAGTTTTAGAATTGCACAAAAAAATGACTTTGAACTCCATTTTCATGCTTTAAATAAGGCTCAAATTCCACTTAAACAGGCCTCGGTTTGGTAAAAATGAATACAGTCTTAATATGAACAACTTATTTATCTTCTGCATTCTATCTGCCTTTTTCATATAGCTATATTATTTAAACTTTAAAAAAATTGTTTATTTTTGGCTGTACTGGGTTTTAGTTGCTATGTATTCGGAGTCTTTCTGTAGTTGGAGCGAGTGGGGGCTACTCTCTAGTTGCAGTTCATTGGCTTCTCATTGCAGGATCTTCTCTTGTTGCTGAGCATGGACTCTAGGCTCATGGGCTTAGTTAAACTCCAAGGCAAGTGGGATCTTTCCAGACCAGGAATCAAACCTGTATCTGCTGCATTGATAGGCAATTCCCAACCACTGGCAGCCAGAGAAGTCCTATTAATGTTTATAGTCCTCAGCATATAAGCCTGTCACTTTCTTGGTAGGATTTGTTTTTATTATTTTTTGATGCAGTTTAAAAGGGATTATTATTTATATTCCTTTTCTGATATTTCATTGTCAGCATAAAGAAATACAACCAGTTTGTGTATGTTAATCTTGTACCCTGCTGCCTTGCTGAACTTCATCAGCTCTTGTAGCTTGTGTGTCTTTAGGGTTTCCTATGTATAGTATCATGTCATCTGCATATAATGACAGTTTTACCTCTTCCATTCCAATCTGGCTGTCTTTTATTTTTCTTGTCTGATTGCTGTGGCTAGAACTTCCAATACTATGTTAAATAAAAGTGGTGAGAGTGGACATCCTTATCTTGTCCCAGATTTTAGTGGAAAGGCTAAGAGCCTTTTCATTTTTATTGACTTCAGTTCAGTTCAGTCGCTCAGTCATGTCCAGCTCTTTGCAACCTCATGGGCTGCAGCATGCCTGGCTTCCCTGTCCATCACCAATACCCGGAGCCTGCTCAAACTCATGTCCATTGAGTCGGTGATGCCATCTCATCATCTCATCCTCTGTTGTCCCCTTCCCCTCCCGCCTTCAGTCTTGACCAGCATCAGCATCTTTTCCAGTGGGTCAGTTCTTCCCATCAGGTAGCCAAAGTATCGGAGCTTCAGCTTCATCATCTGTCCTTCCAGTGAATATTCAGGACTGATTTCCTTTAGAATTGACCTGTTTGATCTCCTTGCTGTCCAAGGGACTCTCAAGAGTCTTCTCCAACACCACAGTTCAAAAGCATCAATTCTTCAGCGTTCAGCTTTATTTATGGTCCAACTCCCACATCCATACATGACTACTAGAAAAACCTTAGCTTTTACTAGAGAGACCTTTGTTGGCAAAGTAATGTCTCTGCTTTTTAATATGCTGTCTGGGTTGATCATAGCTTTTCTTCCAAGGAGCAAGCATCTTTTAATTTCATGTCTGCAGTCACCATCTGCCGTGATTTTGTAGCCCAGGAAAATAAAGTCTGTCACTGTTTCCTTTTTTTCCCCAGTTATTTGCCATGAAGTGATGGGACTGGATGCCCTGATCTTAGTTTTTTGAATGTTGAGTTTTAAGCCAGCGTTTTCACTCTTATTTTTCACTTTCATCAAGAATCTCTTTAGTTCCTCTTCGCTTCCTGCCATAAGGGTGGTATCATCTGCATATATGAGGTTACTGAGATTTCTCCCAGCAGTCTTGCTTCCAGCTTGTGCCCCATCGTTTTTACTGGCTACATAATATTTCAGCTTGTGGATTCAATCCCTGATCAGGGAACGAAGCTCCAGCAAGCCATGTGGCCAAAAAAAGATGCAGAACTTTTCTATCACCTGCGAAAGTTGTCTTGTGCTCCTTTGCAATCAATCCCCTCCTCCACTCCTGGCTCCCAAGATCATTGATATGCTTTCTATTACTAAAATATTGCCTTTTCTAGAATTTCGTATAAATGTAGTAAATATAAGTGTATGTGGTTTTCTGAATCTGTCTTCTCTGTTTAGCATGGTTTTTTTTGGTTCATGCACGTAGTGGCAGCTTAGTAGTTTGGTCCTTTTTATTGCTGTATTCTGTCCCATGAATATGCCACAGTTTGTCTATTCATTTTTCAGTTAGTGAGCATTTGGCTTGTTCCATTTTGTGGCTGTAGTGAATAATTCTGCTATGAACAGTCATGTACAGGTCTTTGTGTGGACATTTGTTTTCATTTCTCTAGATTCCTAGGAGTTGAATTGCTGGATTGGGTTGGAAGTGTGTATTTACTTTTATAAGAAAAGTAAACACTGGTTTCTAAAGTGGCTGTGCCATGTTTAATTTACCGCCATCCGTGTGTGAGAGATCTGTTTATTCCACACCCTAGTCAGCACTTGGTAGTTTCAGCCTTTTATTTATTTATTTTTTTTCATGATCTCAAGGTCAGTTATGTTCAATAAATCCA